GCCTACGGTATTTTTACAGTCTTTATTTTACAGTTAAAATGTATGTTTATCAAACGAAGTATAATGTTACAACTAATCGGGGATCCCTTTAAAAACCAACAATGAATGCCTGTGACCTTCGATACCTCAGAAGGCACTGTATTAAAAACCAATATCATTTTGTAACAGATATTACTACATGGGCTCAGGAACACTTCAGAAAACCCTTGTCAGTGAAAACAGTTCATCTCTACATCTACAAGTGCAAGTTAAAACTCTACCATGCAAAGACAAAGCCAGATATGAAAAACACAGCCGACTTCTCTGGGCCCGAACTTWTCTGAGATGGAGTGACACAAATTGGAAAAGTGTCCTGTGATCTGACAAGTCCGTATTTCAAATGGTTCTTGGAAATCATGGATGTTTTGCTTACAAGTAAAGTAAAGAGGAAAAGGACTGTCCGGATTGYTATTAGAGCTAAGATCAAAAGTCAGCCTCTCTGATGGTATGGAGGTGTATTAGTGCCCATGACATGGGTAACTTGCACATCTGTGAAGGCTCCWTTAATGCTGAGAGATACAGTACATACAGGTTTTTGGAGCAACAGACATATGCTGCCATTCCTTGGAATTGGGGTTATAAAGTTAAATCTCAGATTTGGTAAAAGATAGAAAAGGACCCCTGGGCATGCACTCAAACAAAAGCTAAATCAGTCAGCTCAATCAATCCCTACTTGCGTGCCAGATATCCTCGACAAACAGCCTGGAAGTAAATGATGATGTCCGTGATCTTCAGGTCTCTCTCTTCCTCCAGGTGGGCCAGGACTCCAGCYCTGAAGAAGATCTTACTCTGACCAATACGGAAGAGGTTCCCATCCAGCTCAAGTGCCTGAATCTATAAAACAAAGAAACAGAAGGATTACTGTGGTAAATGAAAAGATGTTTACCCTCAAGCTGTTGTTTGCAGAGAATAAATGTTGAACTGGTCCTTGCCATTCTCTCGCAGGCCTGCTTTCCATCCATGAAACCCTTGGGAATGGCGTTAGGTGTCAGGATCTCGTACCTACACACACAGAATACAGATTATCTTTATACAATAATTTACTAACAAAAGAACTACAACACACCTGGCAGCTTCAGAGTTCAGAGCAACAAGTGATATTTGGAAAAACAAGTTTTAATGCATTTCTCTATAAATTGTATTTATTTTAAGAAAATAATGTGGATTTACTGTTTTTAGGTGGTTTTTATTTGACAAAACATATAATGTTGTGTTTAGTTTAAGTTCTAAATGTGAAGTAAAATACAGTATCACCTCTGTCTGAACTCCTGGAAGACGATGCGGTTGGGGAATCCCTGTCTGCAGATACGGATCCCCTCCAGAACACCGTTACATCTCAGCTGGTCCAGAACCAGGTGGGGGTCCAGCTTACCAGCCTGAGAGAGGTGAGAAGGGTTKAGATGAAGTGACTGACGTACTGAAAGACTGCGTTTTGTTTGTCATCTTTCATGTTGGAGTTAAAAACTAAGACGACCCTGTGTTGACGACAGTTACAATTATTTTGGATAAATCTTGAAAATAATATTTTGTGCAATCTCATGCAGTATTCAAAGATCTTCAAAGATCTTGTGTGATCYGTTAGCACTCAGAGTGTGTGTCTGGAATATCTTCCAGCTAAACCAAATCTTAGCTCAATATTTGTAAAACTATTTTTGTGTTTGCTTGATTAGCTGCGTCACCACTGAGCTGACTTAAAGCGTTAAGATTTATACCCAGTTACTTATTTCTAAGAGTTTCATTAAAATCCATCCAGTTCATAAGATAGTCTAATAACTGACACACAGTCTTAAACATTTCCTCTGTCCTTCAAACTTTCGGCAGCATTCAATAACAAATGGAAAAACAGAACATATGAAGTGTTGCTCTTTCAGCCACTTGAGACTCACTCTTTTTTCATGGTTGGGGATGATGCAGCGGACAAAGTTGGGGTTTGTGTTCCTGAGTGTGGCCATCAGTTTAGACAACTGTTCCTTGTAAAGCTGTCCAACGGTGCGGAACATGCCTTTCTTAGTCTTGTAGGCAGCTCCAAACGCCGTCTCGTTCATGCCAGCGACTTGGTCCAGACCCACAATCCGGTCAACTGGGGAGAGAAACGAGCAGCAGTTTTACAGAAGCAAACAGATTTATTTTCTGATGCTGTTCTTACTGAAAGCTTGCTTGTTTTAGGTGCATGTACAAAAATGGTCACTATTTTGCCATTTTATATAAATCTGGATGTTCAAAAAAAATGCTAAAAAAATAAAAAACAGCAGGACAGTTGGATGATTTCTGCTTCTGAGATGCAGCTCGCAGACACGCTTCAGTCTCTTGCAGCTGTCATGCAGTTGTTTGCTCATGTTTAGAGTCTGTGGTCGAGTCAGCCACAATGAGAGCGGAGCATGAAAAAATGAAACAATCTCTTTGTTGCAGCTTTATCAAGTAATCTGCTGGAGTTTCACACTGAAAGGAAAAGATCTTAACCTGTTTGGAACCAAAATCGTCTTGACTTTATAGTCATAATCAACCAAAACTTGTGACTTTTGCATCAGCTGTTTTTTTTTATTATGAATTGACTGGCATGTTTGCCATTTTTTCATACATCAACATAAGTTGTCTGAAAGATTACAGTGTGACAAGGTTATGAGGTCGTTGTTCCAAAATAAAAGCTTGAATTTTCTGCAATTACTATTGAACTAAAACTCTTCAAAAGAGAAGATTAATGTTTTTTTAAACGAGAAAAAAATGTCCAGTTTGTTTTTTGAGAATCTATTAATTAATTTTGACCAAATATTGTGGTGAAGTATTTTGCCCAGCCCAAATATCTTTTATCGGAATCTCATAAATTCCTGTCGACTAAAAATGCCTCTCTGACTTTATGAATGAGCTTGTCTTCTAAAAGGTTTGCTGAGAATATAAAAGTACATACAGTGTGTCTCACAGGAAAATAAAGCTTAATWTAATTCAATTTCTAAATATTACCAATCCTCGTGGTAGATGAATAAACAGTGGAGATTATGGTTAATGTCGATATAGAAAATATCCAGCTCAGACTTTTAGTCTCTTAATAAATTTTTGGAACAATTTCTTTTTTTTTTTCCATGGGAGGACATGTCAAAGGTGGGACCTCTGTTCTGGATATATATTTGGATTCTGATCACTGGATTCTACAGATTGGCTTGGTGTTCTACAAAACAACGCCGGTGGCTGTTTAGGCCATTTTCTGGCAAAATGACCAATATGAAGGATTGCCGTTCTATCAGCACTCAGACTTTTGCCTTGAGCGAGCGGGAACTCTGTCTGCAAGCGGTTCTGCTGTGGGTCACGGGCCGGCTGTGGTTCCTGGACTTTGTTCTTAAATGTAATTACACTGTGCTCCATACAATGACAATAAAGGCATCGTCATCATCGTCGTCATCATCATCATCATTATCATCATCATCATCATCATCATCATCAAATATTTTGATTTTACAGAATCTGCAATAGGTAATAGTGTCTGAAAACACTAACTTTTTCCATTGCCTTTCTTATTTTTTCAGACGTGGAGAAACTAAAATTGCCTCCATGCTTTTCCAGACCATGACGAAATGTTTTAGTTAACAGAGATCTGCATCTGGACGACTCCTCTGCAACATATTGTTCTTTCTTCTTTTCAGCTGCTCCACTGTGCAGGGATCACCACAGTGAGTGAACTCACATGAAAGATTGGACCTTTTTTTACGCTGGATGTCCTTCGTGACACAATCTGGGCTCAAACTTCCAGCCTGATCACTGAGCTACATGCACCTCTGCAACGTGTTCTTATTTTTAGAAAAAAAAATCCTTAATGTCATAAAGATGAATCGGTTAAATCATCATGCAAAGAATTCCATTCTTTAAGTCTAATAAATGACAGTGTCGATATATCAGACACTGAAACCATCTTTGGAACCAGAGTTATCCATCTGCCTATTAATTTGGTGGATCTGCTGGAAGAAAATATGGTTCTGTTGTAACCAGCTGTTAATCACTGCAGTGGTTGATTAGAGAATATTGAAGCTTTTGGTGTGCTGAGAATGTGTCCCATCATGTCCGAGTTCTAAATGCAGCTTTTAGTAACGGACACTGAATACAACTCCTGATCAAATACAYGCCAGCAATATCAATCAACTCATCATTGGAGCAGAAAAACAGCATGACGTGTGAATGCCTGGACAATGGTTCAAGCAATACTTGCTGAAATAACTGACTGTTTTAAAGTATCAGAGGGTTGAAGCACAACAAGAGCAGAGCCATGCAGAGTCAGAGGAGAACAAGGTGGGCGCAGCAGATGAGGGAAATAGAGCAGATGGACAGCAGTAGGTGGAAGACAAAGCTTGTTACTAACATTCACCTGGAGCTTCATGAAGCCCCGACACATTGTCATAGAAAGAGGCTCTCTGAAACGTCTGAATGTCTACAGCAACAGAGAGAGAAGACAGCAGTGAGAGGGAGAGAAAAAGCAGGCGAGCAGACCCAGACACCATCGTTGATATTTCCTCACGCACAAATTATTAAAGCAGTTTGTTAGATAAACAAGGACTGAAGAGGAAATGTTTGCAAATCAACTAGTTACAGAACGTGTATATTTGTAAAGCTGTTATTGCTCAAGTGAGATATTAAGCCAGAAAATCTGACATGATTTTGCTTTTTTACTTGACCCAAATAAAATGTCACTTCCAATGAATGCTTCTGTTAGTGGAGCTTGTTAGATAATTTATAAAACACACTGCTAACACAAACAGCTAGTGTGATGGGACAGAGCACACAAAGTAACACTAGGGCTTTATAATAAAATGGGACTTAATAAAACATTAAATAGTTTAATATCAAAACTCATTTTAGCTGAGGCCATGTTGAGTTTTAACTAATAAAGAGATTTACCGTCTTTCCAGAGCTCTGCCACAAATTTATCAGTGGACTGGTGGAGCAGCGTGGCCACGTTATCATTCAGAGGATCCATGTTCTTCATGAGCCACTCATCAGCTTTATAGTCCACCTATAGAAACACAAAGAATTGTGGGCATTTGTTTTAGTAACTGCATTACAAAATGTTCCAATTTATTTTTATTCCCTTGAAATATTCCAAATGAAATCCTCCAAAATGACAGAAGTACGACTGAGGCACCGAAAACTAACAACATAAAGTTTTAACTTTATTTATTTATTTATTTATTTATTTATTTATTTATTTATTAAAAAACAACAAAAGTCCATTAAAAAAGTAAATCAATTATGGAATGAAAAGGGTGCAAAAAGAAGAAAAAAACCTTATATCTGCCCCTTATTAAACAACATCATTAAACAAACAACAACTTAAACTTGAAACCTTGAACCTGTTGGCTGAGGCATGTGGAGTGTGATGGAGCTCTTAAAGCCTGGTTCATACTTCAATAAGATGTGACACGATCAGTGAGTACATCCTTTCTGATGTCTTTTTCTGACTGTAGTCTGATCATAGTCGGACTGAAGACACGGCACACAGCTAATTATATAAACAACAGCAGTGACAGCAGTTTTTTCACTTATCGACGTATCCGTGTTGTGTTGGGCGAAGAGTCATAAGAGGAAAAACTCCTTTTTTTTCTTATTAATGATGGAGGAACRAAGGCATGGACATTAGTTGCACGTTCGCATGCTCAATAGGATCAGACGAGCTGCTCTTTGAAGCTGTCCATCTCTTGCTAATTTAACAACCRGCTTCTGGGAACAGATCATTTTCAGAAAAAATGACAACATAAAGAAACATCACCACGAAGTTCTGACCAATCACACACTGCAGGACAGAGCTCTGACTGGGGGCAATGTACATGATGGGGCTGAGAGGAGAAATCTGCATGTGGATTTCATCAGAAATCTGGAAAAGCAAAGCCCTTGATGTTTGCAGTTATTTTCATTTTCAGTATCCCTGCCATGCTGGATTTATTTTTTGAAATTCCAATATAATCCTGGATCCAGCTATCTGAAAGAATCTGTCATTTGAACCTATTTGTGATGATAGATCAGGCCCAGGACTAAATGTTCTCAAAGTGTTTTCAGATACTTGTCGGAAAAAAGGAAAATACATAAAAGACACCATCATTAAACTACTGCTCAAGAGGTAATAGAATATTTTATACTTTGACAGACAGGAGCCTTCTTAGGAATGTTGAGGAGGATCATTTTCTCTTTACGGATGCCAGACCTCTGCAGAAAGGTGAAAGTTGGACGTTTCTGTTATGTAACCAGCAGGCATCAGAGACTCAGTCTCACACCAATCCAAACCAGATGTGGGTTTCCTGCAGCAGCAGCAGTACTACAACTCAGCCTTTGTTTTTCTGCTGTGACCTGAACAACCCTACTCCAACAGAGGTGTTAAGTCTGTGCCTCTAAAAAAAAAATCAGGTCAAGTTGAGAATAAAGTTGTTGTGCAAAAGAATAAAGAATAAAAAATAAAAATCTCAGCCCATGATAGTTTTCAAAATGTATTCATATTTTTTGAAAGAAAGCCAAAAAAAAGAAACAGTGGCACTTTCTTGTTTCTGAGAAACATACCCTCCCTGCGTAGTGGATGATGCAGAAGTCAGCTTTGTCCTTGAGTTGACGTGGTTTTTGAAACTTGGAGTGTGTGCCCAGCTCCTGCAGAACTTTATCGACAAACGTCTTGTCTGTGGCCTTGGGAAACCAGCACTCCTCATCGAGCAAAGCGAGGATTCCTGGGGGGTTATTCTGAGGGAACGGTATTTAGTTAAAAGCAGGATATTCATGACGAAGACGCACAGGCAGGCTATGGCAAGAGTTCACCGACCGGTCTCTCGATGAGGTCGATGCAGGGCTGCAGGTCGAGGCCGAAGTCGATGAAGCTCCACTCGATGCCCTCTCTCTGGTACTCCTCCTGCTCCAGGATGAACATGGTGTGGTTGAAGAGCTGCTGCAGCTTCTCGTTGGTGTAGTTGATGCAAAGCTGCTCGAAAGAGTTCAACTGGAAAAAAAAATCAGAACTCAAGTTAGTCCTGCTGAACTTTTTATTTTTTACAAAGAAATACACATTGAAACTTGCAGCTCTAGTGGGAAAAGGGATTTTTGAGAACAGCTACAAATGGCATTAACAAAAACTTCTCTTCAAAAAAGGAAGTGAAAGATCTTTTTAACTTGTCTTCCTTTATCTTCTACATAACATACCAGACCCTTCTTAAATACAACATTTTAGAGACTTCTGAGGCTTCATTTCTACTGTGCTTGTCTGCCTGTTAGGAAGTGTCAGAAAGTGCCAGCCACAGGTGTGAGGTCACTATGATGGCTCTAATAAGCCACTGGCAACTTTAACATTTTTCTTTTATATTGGTTCTTTTTACTTTTGTTTAYAGAGTTCATACTGTACAATGTCTTCTTTTTTACTTCACAGATTGCTACAACAGTCTTAAATTATTATTGTTTTGTAGAAGAAAACCAATGAAGCTTCAGGCAGTAGCAGCTTTAACACACACAGAAACAAAACTGAAGCTGCATTATTGTTTACAGAGAGGGATTCATTAATATAAAGCAGAAAATAAACACCTCAAATATCTCAAAGCCGGCGATGTCCAGGATGCCGATGAAAGAGGCCCCCTGTCGTTTGGTCCTGTCCAGGGCCTTGTTGATACGGTGGACCAGCCAGCGGAACAGCCGCTCGTATGTTGCCTTGGCCAGGGCTTCAACAGCAAAATCAGCCTAAGTTACAAAACACCACAGATGTTAGACAACATTATTAATGTACAACACCTGAGTGCTATGAGTGCAGTTTGGGAATTTAAACAATGAGATGCTGTTTTAGTCTGTGGAGAGTTGAGATTTAGTCTCGGTACAATGTCAGGGAGTCTGAGTACAAACAGGATAATCCATCAAGCCAGACAGTGCAGATGACCTGTCCAAACATGTGTTATACATTTGCAAAAATGAAATGTAGTCTAAACAGAAAGAAACTGAACTGAAATGTGGTTTTTCTTGTGTAACAAGTGAAGAAAATAGATGAAGTGTGAGGCAGTAACTAATGTAAAATTTTTACTGTTTTGCTACTTACATCATTTCATGGCTGAGTTAAAAAAAACTATTGATTTAATGTTTTTTTTATAACTTTCTGACACATCTCTAAAGTAATCTATAAAATAATCTGAAGCTTAAAGAACACCAATGGATAAAAGGCACATAKAACCTCACCTGTTCTTTGGTCTGTGCCTTTTGCACATAATCTCGTCCTACTTTGATCCGTGGGGTGAGGATGGCTCGGGTGAACTCCATAACATTCATGCCAAGCAGGTGGCAGAGCTTTTGAGCCGCTGAGAAAAGACAAAGCAAGTGTTTTATTTTCTGATAGAAATGTGGCCCTGGGGGGT